AATGCATGAAATTCTCCAACAATGTACACACATCAAAAGTGTCTAGGCTACAGTATTAATTAGCAAAAACGTGCTTGATTAGCACGTTTTTGCTAATTAAATAATGATAATCAGGTGTTTTTAAGGAATTTTTGTTTACACCAATGGATTTTTGAAGGCATTTTCAAATTCAAATTTTAAAATTGATCAACTTTCTTTTTTTCATTTTTCACATTCTAATGACATACGGCATTTTGCTTTGGGGTAATGCCGCCGATATCAATAGAATCTTTGTCATGCAGAAACGTGTGGTTAGGGCAATTTACAATCTGGGCCCCAAAGTATCTTTGAGAGATAAGGTTAAGGAAATTAACTAACTAGTGTAAGAATGTTAATTTCCTTAAATTTATCTCACAGTACATTTCTGAAAATGTAATTTATGTTAAAAGGAATAGTAATTTGTTTATGAAAAATAGTGACAGACATAACATTAATACAAGGAATAAAAATAAACTAGCTGTCCTTGATAGTCGTCTTCACAAAGTCAAAAAATCATTTAAGGGGCAATGTGTACGCTTCTATATAACAAGATTCCGGTTGATATACAAAATTTGCCTTTCACGGGGTTTAAAACTATAGTGAGACAAAAACTTTATACAATTTCTGCGTATTTGGATGACAAAAATCCGTGGCAGTAACCCGTTTAGCTCAAGGAGGTAGTCTCGATCTGTGATGTTTCAAAACAAATAAATATATATCGAGTTGTTAGGTTTTCGCGATTGTTACACACAGGAAATGAAATTCTTTTTCCGGATTTAAATCGCGTATGTTTGTTTTTTCAAACAAACCGACGTTTCGGGCCCCGTTTTGACTGACATAGTTGTCAACCGTGACCATGGGACCTGTAAAAGGCCCGAAACGTCGGTTTGTTTGATAAAATGCGTAAAAATAGTTTCATTTCCTAAAAAAATACATATATTGTAAATGTTGAATGTGTACAAATGTGAGCAACCCCTAGAGTTTCTTGCTCATTCTTCTCAGGGGAATCTGCCTTACGAATGAGCGGTAGAGTTTAACCATTGTGACGATTTCAAGTGTAATAATGCTTACCTATGAAATAAAGATTATTTTGAATTTGAATTTGAAAGATACTTTTTCTTGCGGAAAGGCAAAGATCTTTAGACCATGCAGCCTAGTATCTATGTACAGCCTAGTACCTGTCTAAGTTGAACCTAGATTTTTAAATGTTTTTAAATTTATATGGTAACCTTAATAACCTTAGTAATCATATTATACATACTCTGTTATTGTGTAGTCAGAACACTCTGCTGCTTATTAATCTATGATTTATGTTTTGTCTTGTTTTAACATGCGTCATTACATTACATGCTTGCAAAACGAGATGGATAGTGTGAAGTTTTGTATACTATTTCGCGTTTATCAAATATTATAATGCACACATTAATAAAAAAACCACAACATTACTTACCGAATCTATGTAAATAATTTAAAACTTTAAATTTATGTTCACACAATTTGTCAAGTAGCGAAACGTGAGCATCACACCTATGTAAATTAATTTTCAAATAGGACCAGCATCTTCGTCCGCCATCTTGATTGTTTGACAACCAACTAAATGATATGTAGCGTCTTCACCACACATCAGTGAAACACAACTCAAAGTCAAAGTCAAAGATTATTTATTCCATAGGTAAAATAAATTTACACTTGAAAACGTCACATTTAAGCTACTGCTCGTTCACTACGCTGACCTCCCTGAGAAGAACGAGCAAGAAAATCTAGGGATTGCTCTTTTCAAATAAACTTAAATGCTATGGAATACACTTTGAATCAAATTTGTGTGGATTCTGGAGCCGTGTCGTCTTTCCATACATCTTTATCTAACACGTAGTCTTCAATTTTGTAATATGATTTTTCGATCAAAATATTTTTAATGTAGTTTTTAAACTTAGGAAATGATAAACTTAATATATGCTCCGGAATCTAATGTGCAGTTCCCCATAAAAGAGTTGTTTACCTTGGTTAAACGAAATCGTGGTACCATGAGTTTGGACTTAGCTCTAAGGTTACCTAATATTATGGATATCTTCTTTCTTATCGAAATTATGTATATTTTTACGGGCATATAAAATATTATAGTAAATGTACTGTGATGCCACAGTCGTGATACCAGTCTCCTTAAACTTTTCTCTGATAGAAACCCGAGAGCCTAGACGGTGCACAGAACGAATCGCTCGTTTTTGCAATACAAATATGGTTTGAATATGCCGCTTTACCCCACATGAGAATCCCGTAGGACATTATACTATGGAAGTAACTAAAGTAAACTAGTCTAGCAGTACTAACATCGGTAAGCTCACGTATTCTGCGGACTGCGTATGCAGCGGAGCTTAATCTGCTGGCCAGGGAAGATATATGCGGAAACCATTGAAGTTTACTATCAAAAAAATCAGATCCCTAACGTGTGCGGCCATGGTAACAACGATTTTGTATTTCCCCTTATGTAACGTAACCACATCTTTCCTTTGTTTCGCAGTACTTCCAGGCTATAGCGTACTGCCCGCAGTTCTACGGGCTGGACGAGTTCCTAACCGGGTGGGACAACCTCGCGCTGCTCCTCAGACTGCGGGGCTTTTCAAGGGACGACGTGTACAATGAAGTTGAAACCTGGATAAAAGTTGTTGGTATGCCTTGGGAAATGAGCCTTCGTGTACTATACAAGGCAGGTGAAATTACAGGCACATGGGATTTGACAACTTATGTCTCAGGGTGACGGGCATGCAGTGGCAGTGCCCCTCAGATCTTTGCAATTTAAAGCTCTGAGTGGCACTGCAACTGTTATGTACAGGCGTATAGCTTAGCATCAGGCGCACGACTTATTCGTCCCGTCACTTGATATTAAAAAAAAAACAATCGATGGACATAAAAGAACAGCCATGATTGCCAAGTGTAAGCTATTTCATTATTTTTCCTATCGCTATATAAACTGACCTCAAACTCCAGGTAACAGAACGCTATGCAATATCACAAATATAAACATTTACATCGAAATGCGTAACCATCATGTCCATGCTGAATCATAGTACTCGAAGCCGCTATCTGCGGTCGGGTGTGCAGGACGGCTGACAACTAAACGCGGTCACAAGTAGCGAGCCCTAATCACTCATGCAGGCAGACTATGCTCGGACACAGCCACTCAAACTCTGTAAGTTTGCGTCAAATCATAACATGCACGAAAAATCGTCCACATTTTGTGGCCGCCCACGATGGTTCTTTCCGGGGCATAACATGACCGCTGCTTCGGTGTCAGTAGGAAACACCGACGTGTTTTTACAGCGTCTCATTCTCCATTTGTCGGCTGTCACTGTCACTCTCAACTTGACCGCTACAGTAGATCTGGTCCCTTTCAATGCTCCTTTTTAGGTAACTTAAACCGAAATACAATCAAGAAGTTTTAATGACAGGCCTGGAGAGATACGCCAAAGAACGCGTGAACTCCTACAGCGGCGGCTGCAAGCGGCGGCTGGCCGCGGCGGCAGCGCTGGCGCAGGGCGCGCCCGTGACGCTGCTGGACGAGCCCACGGCCGGCGTGGACGTGTCCGCGCGCAGACGCGTCTGGAGCGTCCTGCGAAGGGGGCTGGCCCAGGATCGCGCCATCATCATCACTTCGCACAGGTGAGCTTCACCAGCACCTTACACATCGGCATGATGCTGTAGCTGCTAGGGAACTGATTAGACCAAAAAAGTAATCAGAAATTAAAATAATAATGAGTAACCTCCGTCTTAGCCTGAACGAAATGGAGGCGCTGTGCAATCGCGTCGCAATAATGTCGAGCGGCGAGCTTTGTGCGCTGGGCTCGCCGGCTGAACTGCGCGCCAAACACGCCGCGGGACATGTCGTGCGGATTAAGCTACGCCCAACCGCCCATGGTACGTGCACTTTGTGTGGTTCAGTGAAACTGGTGTTTCACTTTTGCAAAGGTCAAAGTCAAAGTCAAATAATTATTTATTCCATAGGTAAAATTTTTACACGTCAAAACGTAATTTTTAAGCTACTGCTCGTTCACTACGCTGACCTCCCTGAGAAAAACGAGCAAGAAACTCTAGGCGTTGCTCTTTTCAAATAAACTTAAATGCTATGAAACACACTTTGAATCATAATTGTGTGGAATCTAGACTCTTGTTGTCTTTCCATACTTCTTTATCTAAAACATGCTCTTCAATTTTGTAATATGACTTTTCAATTAAAATACTTTTAATGTAAGTTTTAAACTGTTTGAGTAAATGTACTGTGGTGCCAAACCGGAGAACCTAAACGGTAGGTACACAGAGCTAATCGCTCGTTTTTGCAACACAAATATGGTTTGAATATCTGCCGCTTTACCCCACATAAGAATCCCGTAGGACTATTTTATTATGGAAGTAACTAAAGTAAAGCTAGCTAGTCGAAGATTGAAGGCTTTCGGAGTCGAGGTTCGTAATTCCCGTACCGCTCGTGAAACGTGCAATGTTTTTCATCACACTTGCACGTAAATAATATGATTGCAGGCAGGCTAACTTGACTATAATGCCCCAAATAAACACGACTTTTATCTTCTCATTACCGACCATGGCAGTACTATTAACGTTCAAGTGTAATAGCGTATTTTATTCGTCGCTTCGAGCGAACACCTGTGTATGATATTTCAGCTGTTGAGTTACAGTATACGGACAGCCATATACGCATCCGGGACCTGCTCATCCAACCTCCATATTACACACCGTTGGGCCACTGAGGTCACCATATTTTTGTATAACTTTAGCATTATGTCCGATTGACAACCTATTTCTTGATTAACTTGCACACTTGACAGTTGGTGACTCTGCAGAAACTCGGGAGAAGTTAAAAAGGGACATACACAACCAATTCAATTGTACACTCAAAGATGAACACAAGGTTTGTATGTCAACTCTTTTTCGTTATTCAATATAATACATAAAAACCGTCGAACACTCAGTGGTAAGTCGTCATTTATTTAAGAGCAAAACATTAATATTTAAGATATTCTGAGTACATGTGTAGGTATACACATGTACTCAGAATATCTTAAATATTAATACTTTAATAGTAGTAAAGAGAGAAGTAGACCAAAAAAAAATTTAAGACCTCAACAATAAATGGTGGATTGGGAGTAATTAGTAAATTACACATGTGCTTTGAAGAAGAATCATGTGTACCGCTACCATCTCCGGCTTTACATTTCAAACTATATCCTGGCGTCTGTGGTTTCATTCTTCCGTTTATGTTAATCTACTTTTTCCCCGTACATTAAAAATTAAAAAGGTCTACAAACCATTATAGAGTAGTCCCTATTTTATTTCCAGACTATGCTACACTACCACATAAACGAGAGAATGACCAATAGCGACCTTTTTAAGGCACTTGAAAGCCTTAAAGCGGCCCATCCAAATCTAATAGAGGACTACTCAGCGACGGAAACTACATTAGAAGAAGTTTTCCTATCGTTTGCGAGGGATTCTCAGAAGAACTCTAATAAAAATGCTCCCTTGTGACGTGGTTGTGAAGAAAACCATACTTAATATCGACTAAGCACAGAGACTATCAAATGCCATTTACTTTACTATTGAAATCATTGATTATGCCTCTATTACCATTTTGGCAATTCGTGTCACCGTATATTATGATAACTGAGTCATTCCACGCGTATCGTCATAATACGCGTAGGTGACACTCACCACAGAAATGAGAAGCCAAAATGACGATCTTAGTTTTGTGTACGTCATACTGTCAATTTTATAAAAATATACATTGTATCAAGATCTATATGTGTTTCTCTTTTAACAAAATAATATAAGTAATTCAATTGAACATTTTTCCTTGTTTAATCGACCTTTGTATCGAGAAAACCAAATTAGTAGTATTTTCACAAAAAAATACGAATATCAATGTAATAAAAACATGATTTTAAATAAAATATAACGTGTCGGTGTTTTGTAAAAATGACGAAAGTTTTAGGTTCTAACGACTGTTTTAATTATTATTTTTATTTAACGTCGTAATGTTTCACCTTGATATGCAATTATTTTTGTGAAATTACTCCAATGTTATAATTGAACATAGTTATGCAAAGAAGAACCAACCCACACCTCGAGTGAAATTGACTACTCAGGTAGAACACCAGACGTGTCCTTTACCCGCTCACAAAAGATCCTGGCAATATACCAAGCCAAAACGGAGAAAAGAAGAGTCCTTCAGGGTACCAACCCTAAATAAGTAACGTTTTAATAGCTAAAAAGAACCATGCTGCTTAACTTCACATAGTGTATTTTTTTAAATATGCTAAATGGATCCAAGTCACATGTACTGAAATACTGTAGATCTTTAACGTTTTCATTACGAAAACTAGAACGTGGTTCTCGTTAACTAAATAAAAAGATACCTAATGTACTTAAAATAAATATTCTATTTATTGCTGTATAATAGTTTCCCGATATCATTCTCAATGCTACACTCACGTTGTTTATCTCAAATAACTTTCCCATTTATTTCAAAGTTTTTACAAAAATGTAATTATCTCGAAAGTGGCATTTTGTGGGTTGGTTCTAGTTTGCATAACTATGTCCAATTATTAATACGAAGATAGTACGAACACTAAGAAAAAATTGTATTCCACAGAATGGAAAAAATTAAACACCGAAGTTCCATTTTTAACTTTATTGAAGTGATGTGACGAAAATTATTCAAGTTGATAAATTTTAGTACCTGTTGTAAATTATAATGAAATAAAATCAAAAATGTTTATTATAATGTATCGTCGAATTCTCCGCCATATGAACAGGAATCATCACTTGAATCCTCAGTAGCATTAATGATTTTTTCTTGAGTACACAAATTGTCAAACGCACAATATCACGATTCCAATCGGACATTAAAACTTTTCATAAATAAAATCGATTGTTGTTCTTTAAGCGTCTAATTTGAAGGAACCATCTCAGTGTCGATCGATAGAATACTGGTCATATTGTGACATTAGACAGAGATACACATTTTATGTTATAATATTAATCGTTATTAGTGGTAATCCCAGTGTAGTTGTTGACAGGCATTTTAGTGGTTTTGTTAGAAATAATTCCATAGTTGTTGTTAATGTTAATTCTAGTTATATTATTAGTGGTTATATTTTTATTTAAGCTCATTTCAATGTCATTCTTTGAGAAAAAACTGGTAATTAGTGGTAGTTAAAGTATAGTCATTAGCAGGAGTTTTAAAAATCGTATTTCGGCTAATTGTTGTGTCGTTATTATCGGGAATACTGGTAATGTTATTAGTGGTAATGGCATTGTTGTTATTAGTATTGGTTTTAACGTCAGTGTCGTCGTTAGAGGGCATCCTACTAGTGGTAGTTAAATTTGGTTATTAATTGGAGTTTTAGCAATGTTATTTAACGTAATATATGTGCCTGGGTTTGCAGTAATGTATTTAAGAGTTGTTCTAGTGTGGTTATGATCAGGATGACTGGTTACTTTAATCATAGTTATTGCAGTCATTGTTAGAAATAATTTTGTTTATGTTATTGGATAGGAAATGAAACTATTTTTCCGGATTTAAATCGCAAAGAAAACATTTCCATGTAAAATTAAAAATAAAGTATTTAATCAATAACTATTGTAACTATAGTGAAAAAATAGGGTGGTTTGCATTAATATTAGACATAACTGGTTGAAGACTGTACCACCTCAGTCAACCGTGACCATGGGACCTGTAAAGGGCCCGAAACGTTGGTTTGTTTGAAAAAAGAAATATACGCGATTTAAATCCGGAAAAATAGCTTCATTTCCTATGTGTAACAATCGCGAAAACCTAAAAACTCGATATGTTATTAGAGTTAATTTCAGAGTTGTTGTTAAAAAGAATACCGGAAATGTTATTAGTGGTAACTGCAATGTTGTTATTAGCAAGAATATATTTGCTAAAGATCATTTCAGTGTCGTTGTTAGAGAGAATTCTACCAGTGGTTGTTATAATGTGGTTATTAGTTGGAGTTTTAGTGATTTTATTAGAAATAATTTCAGTGTTGTTTTTAGTGAGAATACTATTAATATCACTAGTGGTTATCACAGTGTGATTGTTAGCTAGAGTTTCAGTGTTCTTATTTAAGATGATATCAGTATTGTCGTTGTGGATGAGAAAACTGGTAATATTATTAGTGATAGTTACAGAGTTTTTCTTAGCAGGAACTTTAATATTCTCAATAGGTATAATTTCAGTGTTGTTGTTAGTGAGAATTTTACTAGTAGTAATTATAGTTTGGTTATTAGTTGGAGTTTTAGTAATATTATTGTACATAATATCGATGTCAGGGATTGTAGTATCGTAGTTGGGGATTGTTCTAGTATGATTATAATCAGGAATGTCGGTTATTTTAACAATGGTATTTGTAGTGTCATTGTCAGAGACAAAATTGTTTATTTCATTAGAATCAATTTTAGTGTCGTTTTTTGTAAGAGTGTTGGTAATATTTTGAATTGGAATCACAGTATGGTTCCTATCGGGAATTTTAATAATCTTTTGAGATATAATTTCAGTATAGTCCTTAACTGAAATGCTAGACATATTGTTGAGTGCGCTGTTAACAGCGGAAGCGCTAGTTAAGCTACTAGTAGTATTTACAGTACTGTTGGTCTTAGAAATAATTGTAATTTTATTAGTGGTTGTTTTGGCGCTATTTTGATGGAGTATAGTAGTGATATTTACAGTGTAGTTGTTAGCGGAAATTTCAGAAATGTAATTATTTTTAGTGCGGTTATTAGAAAGATTTCTAGTAACGTTAGTATTTCTAATTTCTGTGACAGGAGATTTAGTTAAGACGTTTTTGCCGCTATCAGTTACGCCATAGTTATTGATTGCCTTCACCACGTTACTTGTGTTTTCAGGTGCAGATATTTTCACATTTTCAATTTCGTGATTTGCAGTAGTTGTTATTATTTCAGTATCACTTTGTGACTCTTCAGTAATTATCTTATTGTTTCCCGTTCGTAAGAGTTTACTTTTAACTAATTCAGGCCATTCCGTGTAGTCTTCAATGTTATGCGGATCTTTGCAATTGGCTTCTGGAGCACTATAACACGCTTCCCTGCATCTCAGTTGAGATGGAAAATTATTTTCGTTGCCTCCGCATCCACTCCAAACAAATTCTTCACAATCTCCCCGATATGGATTAAAACCCCATCTAAAAAGAAGTGCGTTAAATTAAAAACTACAAATAAATTAACTATTTTTTTCATTATACAAACAATTTATTTTACTGGTGGCACGAACATAATACAACAAAACACATCCAATACTAGTATAGTAAAAAGATCAAACGACCCTATTACCCAATTCATGTCCCCATTAACACTTGATAATTTATTTTTGTCGCAATTAATTTAGGATTTCAGGATAAGAATTGATATTCTGCACTGAAACTAAAATTCGTCTGAATACAGTCGAAACTGTACGAATTTCTCTATGCGCATGTTATATATCTTTACACATCTCATGCTCTTAAAGTTCGTATTTATGCTGGGTGTAGGCTGCATAAAAGTGGATTTATGCTCTAGTGCACAAAATAAAATTGTCGTTTAAGACCGAGGCAATGACCCCTGCGTCAACAGCCACGCACACTAAAACTTTATAAAATAAAGTTTTACTTTTATTTTTTTAATCTCTGTGATATGTTGTAATTCTACATTCAATTTTAATTAAATGATCGTTTATTTGTTATATTGCTGTTTAATTTCCTCGCATTCGAAGTGAAAATCTGAGTGTATAACACGTTCATAAAAGCCATTTTACCCTCGCCTTTAGTATCCACTCTCGCCTCGAGTAAAATGACGCGTTTTATGCACTTGTTGTACAATCTACTATTGTTTTTTTATGGCTATTTTGCCGTAGCGACACCTGTGACAAATCAATGAAAGTTTTTCTTCTCTCAACCAGGTACCTTTACAGCTGACAAGAGATGTCGCTTTTTGAATTGTAATATTGATTTTATTGAATACCATGATGTTGTACTGCCATGATATTCATTTATTTTATGTGGAATTCATTTCTCCGTCTACGGGAATTCACCACTAGTTTGTTATACGCAGGTTCGAATCCTGTTAGATAGAATCAATTTTTGTCTGTGTTCATTCCGTTGTATTAATAATTAATTTTACACATTAGGTCACGGGTCCTTCTAGTTCAGTACAAATTAGGAACTGTACGCGTTGCGGAGCCAAAGACGCGAGGCGATCTTAATACAGATACCTGTCTTTTATTCCAGTAAGAACGGTGCGAACGGGACATTTAGCGATTTTTTACTGCTTTTAGTACATACAACTTTGAGTGAAATGCACGACTGAACGTAACACTCAACAACACATCGAGCAGTATATTAATGCTCTCACTGTCAAAGCAAGGGAGTTGGCTTATGTCTTCAGACAGGGCGTCCGAGCGGAACACCCTGGTTGCCCAGATCGGGCAAGATCTCTCTCCGCCAGGATAGTATCGGCACATCTGGACACTCCGTAGAACGGTCGAAAGTTATTTACCTACTACTACTAGCAAGGCGGTATCTGCACACGCGCAAATGCGTAAAATGACAGGGTTACCCATCACTTTCTCGTACAATTGTGTTACCTGGTCAAAGTGGCAACATAGCGAAAATTATTAAGCGAATCTGTTAAAAACAGAAAATTGGAAATTCATTAAAATAAAACTTGCCGATGATATGAAATACAACCACAGATAATATTTTTGGTGCAGCTATCATTTTTGCTTTCC